AATTATAAATATATGAATTTATTTTATTTTATATATGCATGTTAATTATTTTAATTTATTTCATTTTTATTTTTAAAGTACATTTTATTTACATATTTATTAATAATTAATATTAGTTAAAAAAAATTATTTGTTTTAGATTCACTTTTGGTCAAATGTCTTTTTACTATATGATTTTGCAGGTCAGAGGTCATCAAATGCTTCTTCACATATTCTTTTGCTTCTGCTTTAAAACGTTCCAGTACATATGAATGAAAGTGATTGGGAAATCAGGTCTAGTGTAACAGCTCTGAAAGCATCTAAATAAACAATGAAGGAAGAGTTTTGCCTTTCTAAATCAGTGGTCCATGCTGGAAAGTTCTGCTAAAAGGTGGTAGCTCGTTTCACATCAACCTGGTGTTGACCCTTGACCCCCAAAATCCAGGAACCATGTTCCTAGAACTGGACTGACCTGGTTTTTCCCGCTGGAAACAGACTCCAGAGTGTTGCTTTGGATGTGGCTTGTTGGTGAGTTTGTTTCTTCACTGAAGTGGGTTTTAGATTTGTGTGTTTCTCTCTTCTAGAAAGTACTTCCTCCGGTTTGACTCATTCTGCTCTCAGTATTGTTCACCATTTTTGACCTGGTGGGAAACACAAAGTCTGCTGTGATTATTTACTGAAATCTCTCAAACTTCCTGTTTGCATGTTTATGCCACATATTTTTCAAGGAACAAATAACTTGCTTACCAACTGATTCAGATCTTTAGTTTGGGCCTCAGTGTCTCAGTGTTTGTGTGTTTAACTGCAGTTTGCGCACAAAGACTAAATATATAAAAACACCTCAACAAACCGGAGGAAGAGGAAGAGGAAGTGGACTGGCTGGACTGTCGATGGTGGCACTGTGAGGTGAAGCCGGGCCCGGTTTTCTGATGAGAACAGAACAGATGGTTTGTCAGATCCGGTTCCGACTCTGATAAGGCTCTCAGAAAACGGCTTCTCAGGACTCTAGTCTACGTGTCTCCCAGAGGATCATGGGGTTTTTGGTTTTGTTTTTTCGGATCCTGTAATGGGACGTCATGCTTTTTACCAGCAGGTGCAGTGGCTCTATTCCAGCTGATTTCTGACAGCAACCGTGAGAAAGATTATGACTTTTATTGTCATTCTTTTTTCTACACAGAATTGTGGGAATTTACCAAGTTTACTAATTGTCAGATTTTTTTTGTATTTGTCCATTGGAATGGAACAGAACATTCAGAACGGCATACTTTCAGCACTACTTTTAAAAACAAGTAGTATGTGTACTGTGCACACTAAAATGTTATTAAATAATTGGATAATAAAACAACAATAATAATAATAATAAACTTAATAATTATATATATATATATATATTTCATTTATTATATACAATAAATATAATGTTTATTATTTTCATAGTTTATTTATTATGTAATTGTATCATTATGTGTTTATTATTTTCATATTTATTTTATTTAGAATGCAATTTTATCATATATTTCTTATTGAAATATTTATGAATAAATAATATTGATTATAAATATATTTATTAATTTTATATTTTATATATGTACATATGTTTATTATTCAAGTATTTTCTTTAATTTATTTATATTTATTCATTTACATTACATTTATTTAATTACAGAAGTTTCGATATTTATGTAATGTAATTTTATCATATGCATTTCTTATTTAAATGTTAATAGATAATATTAATTATAAATATATTTAGTAATGTACATATATGTATGTTTATTATTTTAATCGTTTATTTTTATGTAATTAATGTAATTTTATCATATGTATTTCTTATTTAAATATTTGTTAATAAATAATATTAATTATATTTATTAATTATATATATGTACATATACAGTATGTATATGTTTATTGTATACACATACACGTAGTATGCTGTATGTGTACTGGGCACACTAAAATATTATTTAATAAATAATGAATAATAGTGATACAGTTGTGATGCTTTGAATCATGACAGGCTTTTTATTTAATTTTATATTCAATTTTATTTG